TTTGTCTTCCCTCGGGACCTCCTTGCTCTGCTTCCCCTGCCGCTCCATTGTAGGCCCCCATTGTTTTGCCTCAGTGTGTTGGGGTCAGCTCAGTCGCCCATTCCACAGTGTCTCCGGTGCTGTCCCATGTAGGGCCATGGATCAATGCAGGATGTTGCATCTCGCTGTGGGGGCAGCTATATGGTCCTCTCTGTACACTGGGACCTCCGAGCTGGGCTATCATCCTCTGAGCTTGGTGGGCCCAGGTGTGCTCCGCTCCGTTCCTCCTCCTTCCTTTGCTTCAGCTTCCTTCTGGATGTGGTGTGGTAGGTCAGTTTATTTCTCACACCAGACGATCTATTTTCATTTTCTGTGGTACTCCCTTCCATGGTGGGGGTCGGCCTAATTCTGGTTAGGGCCGGCGTATGGTCTAGTCTCTTTATGGATTCCTCCGCGTGTTACGTTGCCCTCCTGGTTTGGTGTGTCCTGATGGGATCTATATGCACGTTCCAGTTCTGTGGGAACACAACCAATACTCCCCCTGGGTGGGTTAGTGCCCTGTACCCCACCCCCACTCCCACCCCCGTGCCATCAACTCAGTTTCTCCCCACCCTGCTTCTCCCTCCACTTGCCCCCCTTCCCCTTCTTTATGTTGGACTCTCATGTACCTCCCTAGGTGTGGCCTGCCCTCTCTCCAACTGTCTATGCTTCCACCCCTTTATTGGGAGATAGGTGTTTATTCTTCTATTCCTGGCGTGCTGATTGTGCTTACCTCAGGGGACTCATGTTATACCTGTCCTTTTGCTTTTGGCTTTCCTTGCTTAACGTGATTCTTTCCAGCTCCTCCCACCAGGCAATGTGTTTTATGTGATCGTCCGGGCTTTTCAGCGCTGCATAGTACTCCATTGTGTGTTTGTGCCTTAGTTTACTAATCCAGTCATCTGTCGATGGAAACTTAGGAGGCTGTTTCCAAGTCCTTGTGATAGTGAATTGTGCCGCAATAAACATTGGAGTGCAGATGACTGGTCGTGTTTTATTTGTTGCTTCCACCAGGTATATGCCCAGTAGAGGTATGGCTGGGTCATAAGGTAGACCAATTTCCATTTTCTTTAGGTATCTCCAGATTGCTTTCCACAGTGGCTGTACAAATCTACACGACCACCAGCAGTGGAGAAGGGTTCCTACTTCACCACAGCCCCTCCAACACTTGTTGCTCTCAGATTTTCTGATTTGGGCTAGCCTCAGGGGTGTTGGGTGGTATCTCATTGTTGTTTTGATTTGCATTTCTCTTATGGCTAATGAACAGGAACACTTTCTCATATGATTATTGGCCATCAGGATCTCCTCCCCAGTGAAGGCTCTTTTCAGTTCTTTTGCCCACTTCCTTAGGGGGTTAACTGTTTTCCTCTTTTTGCAGGTCATGATGGTGTTAATAGATTTTAGTAATGAGCCTTTTGTCCGATGTGTCATTACTAAAAATCCTCTCCCAGTCTGTGGGTGTCTTGTCACCCTCTTGGTGAAGTCTTTCGAGGTGCACAGGTGCTTTATTCTTATTAAATCCCATTTGTCGATTTCCATTTCACCTGCGTGTGTACCCGCCCCTATTGCAGTGAGCCAATGAGTTCCCTGGGCCAGTGCTCTGAGATTAGTCCCATTCCCTCCTTGGTGGTCCTGATGGTTTGGGGTTTAACTTCTAGGTCTGTGATCCACCTTGAGTTTATTCTTATGCATGGGGTGAGGTAAACGTCTTGTTTAATTTTTCTGCATGTGGATATCCATTGTTTCCAGCACCACTTGTTAAAAAGGGCATCTGCTTCCCACTTGATGGTTTTGGGACCCTTGTCAAAGATCAGTTGTCTATATGTGGATGGTTTTATTCTTGGACTTCCTATTCTTTTCCACTGGTCTGAGTGTCTGTCGTTGTACCAAGACCACGCTGTTTTGACCACTGTAGCTGTGTAATAGGCATTAAAATCGGGTAAGGCGAGTCCTCCAACTGTGTCCTTTTTCTTGAAGAGTTCTCTGCTAATTCTGGGTTTCTTCCCTTTCCATGTGAAATTGGTGGTCAGTTTTTCCAATTCTTTGAAGAAGGTTGATGGTATTTGAATTGGTATAGCATTGAACTTGTAAAGTGCTTTAGGTAGGATTGTCATCGTTACTATGTTAAGCCTTCCAATCCATGAGCAGGGGATGTTCTTCTATTTGTGGAGGTCGCTTTTGGTTTCCTGTGGTAGGGTCTTATAGTTTTCCTTGTATAGGTCTTTAGTATTTTTTGTGAAATATATTCCTAGGTATTTCAGTTTGTTCTTAGCTACTGTGAAGGGCACTTCCTTCTTAATCCCCTCTTCCATGTTCCTGTCCGATGTGTATAGGAAACCTACTGATTTCTGTTTATTGATCTTGTATCCCGCCACTCTTCCATATTCCTCCATCACTGTAAGTACTCCAGCTGTGGAACTTTTGGGGTTTTCAATGTATAGGATCATGTCATATACAAATAGCGATAGTTTCACCTCCTCCTCTCCCATTTGGATCCCTTTGATGTCCTTCCGCTGTCTTATATTGTTAGCCGTTACATCCAAAACAATTGAATTGAAGTGGGGAGAGGGAGCATCCTTGTCTTGTACCCTTTTTCAGTGGGATTGTTTTTGTCTTTTCTCCATTGACTATGATGTTGGCCGCTGGCCTTTCATAGATAGCTTGTATCAGCTTGAGGAACTTACCTTCCAATCCTATCTTTATGAGTGTCTTGATTAGGAATGGGTGTTGGATATTGTCAGATGCTTTTTCTGCATCTATGGATATTATCATATGGTTTTTATCCTTTTTCTTCTTGATGTGGTGTATAATATTGATGGATTTTTGGATGTTAAACCATCCCTGCATCCCTGGGATGAATCATACCTGGTCGTGGTGGATTGGCCAATATTTTGTTAAGGATTTTTGCATCTATGTTCATTAGAAATATTGATCTGTAATTATCTATACCTGTGGGGTCTTTGCCCTGTTTGGGTATCAAAGTAATGCTGGCTTCATAGAATGAGTTTGGGAGTTTGCCATCTCTTCTATGTTATGGAATACTTTGTGGAGGATCCGTGTCAACTCTTCTGTGAATACTTGGTAGAATTCTGCTGTGAAGCCAACTGGCCCTGGGGCTTTTTTGTTGGTAGATTTTTAATGACTCTCTCAATTTCTTCTTTCATTATGGGTTTGTTGAGGTTCTTGATCTCTGTCTGAGATAATCTAGGGAGAGACTGTTTTTCCAAATATTTATCCATGTCTTCCATGTTTCTGAATTCATTAGAATACAGACCTTTATAGTATTTTGTGATTATCCTTTTAATCTCATTGTAGTCTGTTGTTATTGCCCCTGTTTCATCCCTCAGCCTGGTTATTGATGTTTGCTCCTTTCTATCCTTGGTAAGCTTTGCCAGAGTACTGTCAATTTTGTTAATTCTTTCGTAGAACCAGCTTTTAGCTGCATTTATCTTTTGTATTGTTCTCTTGTCTTCCCACTGGTTTAACTGTGCCCTGATTTTTTTTTTTTTTCTCTTGCTATTTGATGGGTGGTTCTGCTGACTCTGTTCTAGTTGTTGGTATCTTTCTTTTTTTAAATCATTTTATTGGGGCCTCTTAAAGCTCTTATCACAATCCATATTTATATTTATTGTGTCACGCACATTAGTACATATGTTGCCATCATCATTTTCAAAACATTTCTTTCTACTTGAGCCCTTGATATCAGCTCCTCTTTTTTCCCTCCCTTCCCACCCTCCTTCACAAATCCTTGATAAGTTATGTTATTATTATTATTTTATGTCTTATGCCTACCACTGTCTCCCTCACCCTCACTTTTCTCTTGTCCATTCCCCTGCGAGGGGGTTATATGTCAATCAATGTGATCGGTTACCCCTTATCCCTCCTCCCCTACTTCCCTTTACCCCCCTAGTATTGCTACTCTCCTTATTTGTCCTTAGGGGATTATCTTTCCTTGATTCTCTGTTGCAAGTTCTTATATGTACCAGTGTACATTTTCTGGTCTAGACAGATTTGTAAGGTAGAATTGGGGTCATGAGAATGTGTGGGGATGGGGGTGGGGGAAGCATTAAAGAACTAGAGGGAAGTTGTGTGTTTCATCTGTGCTATACTGCACTCTGACTGGCTCTTCTCCTCCCCACGACCCTTCTGTAAGGGGATGTCCAATTGACTACAGATGGGCTTTGGGTCTCCACTCTGCCCTCCCCCTCATTCACATCGATATGCTTATTTAATTTTGTTCTTGGTCTTTTATGCCTGATACCTGATTCTATTGACACCTCGTGATCACACAGGCTGGTGTGCTTCTTCCATGTGGGCTTCCATGTCTTGCTTCTCAGCTAGATGGCCGCTTGTTTACCTTCAAGCCTTTAGGACCCCAGACACTGTATCTTTAGATAGCCGGGCACCATCAGCTTTCTTCACCACATTTGCTTATGCACCCGCTTTGTCCTCAGCTATCTTCTCAGGGAAAGTGAGCATCACAGAAAGGAAGGATTTAACTTTCAAAGGCGTGTATTGTAAGTCACAGAGCCCACGGACAGGAAGGCATATTTCACTTGTAGAGAGGGTATAGGATAGTTGAAAACAATAATACCTGATGCACATCTGTTTCAATATTCATTCCTAAACTTTGTTTTCCAGACAACAGAGTTCTGAATTGAAGATAAATATGTTGAAGCTAACACTATTTAGGCGAATATGAATAAGGTCACCCGGGAAGAGAAACGAGAGTGATAGAGAACTTTTAAGAGAGCTATCTACAAAACCACAGAAGCTATATGTGAACTCTCTGAAAGGTAGATTAGAATAGAATATATCCTAGGCCCTTGTTATAGAATTAGTTCTACTCCAACAATAGTAGATAACTTAAAAAAAAAAAAAAGCTTGAATGCAAGCGCTTTAAATATATCTGCTTATCACCATAAGACTTAATTACCTTCAGCATACAGATTTATCTAATGTACATCTATTTGTTATTACAGAGATTTGCCACAATATGGACAGAAGCAGTGGCAGTCCTATTTTGGAAGGACTTTTGATGTTTACACCAAACTTTGGAAGTTCCAGCAGCAGCATCGGTAAAGGACTTTGATAATTAAAAGAGAGTGGAGGGCCCATTTTATGTTAGTCACAATTTTGACCTTTGCTGCCTCAGTACTATTTTCCTCTGGTTACTCTGTAAGTAATATGTTCGATCTTCATGCTTAAAAATGACAACAAGCTTTCTTACTTAAGATTTTAAAATCTTCTCAACTAGATGGTGCTGGGATATCATGGCTAGCTGCTCTTACTGGAATTATAACAGAGAGTCCTAGACAGAGAAGGAGGAAAAGGTAGAGCAAAAATTTAGATTCACAAAGAAAAACTAGATTTATTGGTTTGACAGAAACTGGGGAAAATCCTAGGGTTATGGGCCAAAGACACCCTTCTGACCTGGAGCTGAAGACCACCAGAGACCACCTGTGATCTGAACACTAGACCGGCCCTTAAAATAAAATACATGAGAGCAACGTATCCCTTAGACAATCAGCTTTACAAGATTGAGAGAACCTTTTCCCAAAAGTATAGATGAGAAAGCAAGAAGGGGTAGAACATTCAGACAAATGGAAACAGAGAACCCATGGTGGAAATGGAGGTCGCTGACACATTGTGATAATGCAGCAATGTTAAAAAGCGTTTTCTGTGCAAACTATCAAGGGAAAAACCAATTTACTCTATAAACTTTTACCTAATACAATTATTATTTTTTAAGATTTTCAAATGTATTCAACTGAATAAGACATATGTTTTATCTAAAATGGTTCAGATTAATTCCAACACGGGTGGGATGATTCATAGTTTCATTCTAAAGTAGGTATTGTTTATTGGCCAAAGTTATTTAAGGGAGAATTGTCTTGAATTTTCATGAACATAGCTCAGAGAGACTTTCTTATTATAGTTCTGCTTCCTTTAAATAGGCTTTTAATGAATACTTTTTGAATTTAATTGAATGATTATTTTGAAATCTCATGAAAAATTCATGAGGTGTACTGAATTGGGATGGTATTTTAGCTTATGAATTTATAGATTTGGCTTTATTTTTTAATATTTATAATCTCTTATTTCTGTTTCTTTTCTCCTATGTAAAACAGACAAGTCCTGGATAATCGGTATGGTTTAAAGCGGTGGCAAATTGGGGAAATTGCCTCCAAGATTGGGCAGCTTTACTATCATTATTAGTAAGTAAACTGGACGTAGAAATAAGAAAGTGTAGTCATTCTGGACAACAGGGAACATAGTGAGTTACAAATGAAACTCTACTACTTCAGATCAGATTGATGAAGACTGCATCATTAAATGACCTTCCTTTATTAACATTATTTGCTTCAAAGACTAGCTTTCCAAGCAGTTCATCTAATCAGCCTCAATTCTCATGTAACTTAAAGGAATTTGATCATGATTATTACATAAATGACTAATAAAAAGTGGGCTTCTAGAACTTATGGAATCCCTTAAATCTTAATGGTATATGCAGACACATTATAATTTGTATGTATGAATGAGTGTTTTTTAAAAGTGTACTTAAAAAATTCATAGTAGGAAACCACCCCCCAAAAATCAGGCTAGTAGGATGTCCCTGAAAGATAGCATGAAGTATATAAAGATAGCTTTGTCAGTTGAGTCTATCAGTAACATCTAAATAGCCCCATCGTGGGTCTGGGAAAGAAGAGCACTCCTCTCTGGAGTCTAAATCCACTCTCATGAAATAGTATCAAAAATTATTTTTTAAATGGTTTGGATCATTAATTTCACAAGCAAGAAAGAGTAGAGCATTCAGACAAATGGAAACAAGGAAACCATGGTGGAAATTAAGAGATTGCTGACACATTGTAGTAATGCAGCATTGTCACAAAGCACTTTGCATGCTTCCTTTTCCTACATGTTTTTCTTAAGAATATAATTTTAAATTTCCACCGTCAAAATTTTTCTTGGATAAAATATTTTAAGTCTTTAAGCATCTTTTAAAGATTAATATGGATTTATCTCTTTCTACTTTCCATGAGAAAAGCTAAGGAAATGGACCAAAGGACAAGTGACTATGTATGAATTTGGAGAAGGTCATGAAAGGCCTGGGTGGAAGAGATTTAACTAGATGAAATGTTTTCTCAAAATAATATGAATTTTTTTTGTTAATTAGGAGGTGGGTGGGAAATGGACTGTTGTTTGGAGAATACCTTCAAATAATGAGAGTATACCCATTATTTACATAATGGACATGGTTAGTTTCAAAAGATAATGGTTAGGTACAAAATTGGTGTGGAGGATGACTACATCAGATCAGAAAACAGAGAATGAAAAAAAAAAAAACCAGAATGACAACATCATTACATAACTGCCAAATCATATCACTACATAATGCTAAACCACTGAAACATATGGCCAGCTAAATTGACACACGTAATCTTAACCATCACAACAAATGTTACTCTTGCCCTGTAGTGCAGCATGTATTACCGCCAGATAGAGGCCATCAATATGCAAAAATAGCCACATAGAATTCTTACAAAGGAGTCCTCCCCATTCAATGGTTAAGTGCTTGACTCTTAACTAAAATGCCCACCGTATAAACCCACTGTAAATGTAAAATATCAGATGTGGAGATAATTTATAAGTGAGGAATAGGTGCAATTGTAACTGTGGGTTAACAGCAAAAAAGTTTTGAGAGCAGTGGGAAGGCTTTTGTATCATTACTTTTACACACTTTATCTTCGATATGATTATTGTTTTGCTGATTCAGATTTAGACTCAGTCATTGTTGTCCTGTCATACAGAGGAATGGTACAATGGCAGTACATGCATTTTTATGGTGAAGAGCTTGAGACATACTTATATTTAAAGTTGGTTGTATTGGTGTGTTGTTTTTTTCCTCGTAGCCTACGCACATCTGAGACCAGCTACCTAAATGAGGCCTTCTCCTTTTATTCTGCGATCAGACAGAGATCCTATTATTCTCAAGTCAATAAAGAGGACAGGTATGCACCAATTATGTTTTTAGAAAGGTGAGGATAAGACACTCGAAGCCCTTCATCTATGTGAAAAGTATGCAGAAAATGATAACTTTTATTCATTTAACAGGCTTTAATGTGTGCCCATTGTGTATTCAGCCTACTTGAGCAAGCATACAGAGGTGGAAGATTATGTAAAAGCAATAAGTAGTCCAGATATTGTAACAGATATCACTGTGTTGGGGTAGAATCAGACCACGGAGGAGGGTTGGGGTTACTTCTTTATGAGAGAATGAAACCATACAAGGCTTCATAGAAGAGAAACTTCTCCAATGTGAAGCTAGTTAATAGCCTTTGCCTTTCGGCCTGTGTTTGACTTATTTTGATTCATATACATTCAAAAGCCTGTTAGAAACTATTGTGTGGTGTGGGGGTATGGGTCCTCAGGAGCGACTGTGCTTTTGGAAGATGATAAAGACAGACAGTGGGGCACAGGGGATCTTTGCCCCTATGTCAGGACAAAAAGAGTGAATGTTTTCTCCAATGGGTATATATAATGGGGCTTACAGATCAGATCTTTGTCATACAGCAAACATTACATAGTCACTGGATAATATCATAGTGTGTAACATAATAAGCAATGAGGTGAATCATTGTCTTGACCTAGTGCTAATTTGATCTCAGATGCCCCTGAGCCCTCCCCAGGGGAGTAATCTGATTAGTATCAGCAAGAGATGTCAAAACAGAGTTCCTTATATTTTAAGGTGTGTCAGGGTATAGAACCTGATTGTTCTTAACTACAGATAACCTTCAGGTATAATGAATAGCCAGACACAGGACTGGGTCATCTCTTATGGTAGCTCCTTTATGACTGCTCCTTAGTGGAGGACTATTGTGTGGCGGCACATTTTTGGCCTGGGGAATGTGTATTTGAAGGCATTTCCTTCCCAACACAATGGGAATCTTTCTCCAAATAGGGCCAGTTTTCCAGGCCTGTGGTTGCAAGTAAAGGAAGAAGGCCAACTACACTCATCCAAGCCACAGTGTGCGACTAGAGAAAGAAGAGTCGTGCTCTTTGAATCTTCTTCTTTATCCTCAGTCCTGTTTTGCAGTTGAGTCACTCAGTGTTGAAAAAGTGAGCCATGTGAAGTGTATTCGTTCCCAGTAGCAGTCCATTAGCACCTACATATCTGGCCTGGTGGAGAAGATAGAAAGAAGTATGGCCGTCCTCTTGTCCCTTCAAAAGCTGACTTCCTAAGAGACATTTGGACTACAGGCAGAAGATGGTGTGATTCCATCAAAATGGAACTGTGGCAGATATTTGGCATCAAATTCTTTTCAGATCAAGTCTTCTGTAGATCCTATGGCTAGCATTCCAAGAATTGGAAGAGAAGGTTCAGGCATAGATGATCTGAATTTTCTCTTTGCCTCCAGCAACAGAATTCATAGTTGTCTAGTGAAGATTATCCTCTTTTTAAGTGATGGGAGAAAACATTGTTTTGACGGTTTTTTTCAGAGAGCAGTCATAAGCGTTCCAGCTAAGCAGTAATGATTGTGGAAAGCCCTCGCCTTTAAACCCCTTATCGTCTTGTACATCTTGCTCATACTGTCTAGAGGCGCTTCCTTGATGCAAGGAGGGCATGTAGTGGCTGAATTCCACACTTTCCCCTTTGGTGTTGTCAACACCTCGCTGCATCCCTGTGTCAGTTCCATCGGGCACTTTTGCTGCGGGCTTTCTTTTGCTTTGCTTCCCATACCTTCACTAGATTTCATGTAGCCCTGGGTTTGGGTTTTCATACACGGGCAGTTTGTCCGATTTCTTGATGGGAGTTGTGTACGCTTTATCAGTATTAGAGATACATATAAGACGGATACTGTATGAAGCAACAGCAAAATACCATATAAAATTCACTTTCCCTTAAGAAAACACTAAAATACTCAAAATGAAAATCTGAAACTAAGGTAATTCTTGGCCAAAAGGGTTATAAAGTGTGTCTAATATTAAAATAATAATAATAATAAATAATAAATAAAATAAAATTCACTTTTCCACACTTTCTAATTTACTGAGGTGAATTGGCCCTGAGCGCCTTGGTTTAAAAGCCAAGTTTGAATTATTAAAACAGTTTTTTGCCTTAATAGCAAATACCACATATCAATTGTTTTTCTGTACTGGGTCTTAGCACAAGGCAGGTTACAAAGAGTGGATTATTTGGGATTAGGTTGACAAAATATCTTGCCTTGGGTTTGTAAATTAGACTCAAAGGATGATAGGCTGTTGGACAAAACCTTGACCTCAGTCAATGACTGTAAGGAGAGTTTTGTTCTGATGGTAGGTTGTTCTTTGTTTCTTGGTTCAGGCAGAGCAAAGAGACCAGCCAAGGTGGTGATGGCGGTGTTTGGTGCCATCCCACTGGTTCCAAGCATGGGCTAGTGACTGTTCAGCAGAAAGAAACACTGCCTGGCCCTGCACAATCCTCACAATTGATATATTGAAGCTCTGTGTTGCGCCAGTGGCAGTCCATCTTGTCTCAAGGGTCTTCCTCATTTTCTTTGACCCTCTACTTTCCTAAGCATGATGTCCTCCAGGATTTGTCTCTCCTGATAACATGCCCAAAGCATGTGAAGTGAAACCTTGCCATCCTTGCTTCGAAAAAGTATGCTTCTGAGACAAATTTGTTTGTTCTTCTGGCGGTGCATGATACTTTCAGTTTTCTTTGACAGCACTATTATTCAAATGCAATTCTTTGTTGGTCTGATTTATTCACTGCCCAACTTTCACCTGCATTTGAGATGATTGAAATATTCTGGCTTGAGTCAGGTGCAACTCAGTCCTTTGAGGGACACCTTTGCTTTCAACACTTTAAAGAAGTCTTGTGTAGCAGAGTTATCCAAAGTTACATGTTGTTTGATTTCTTGATGATTTACCCAATGCAGTGTATTGTTTGGTTTCTTGACTACTGCTTCCATGAACATTGATGGTGGATTTAAGAAAGATGAAATCCTTGACAATATTTTGTCTATTTGCCATCATCTTGTCTATTGGTCTAGTTGTGGAGGAGTTTTGTTTTATTTACCTGACTTATAATCCTTCTGTCTTACACTATCCATTGTCTCCCTTCACCCACATTTCTATTATTTGACCCCCTGGGGGGTGGGATGGGCTATATATCTGACCTTGTGATGAGTTCCCTCTTTCTCCCCTTTCCCTCCCAGCCCCCACCATCCCCCTACTCTCATAATATCGCTAGTCCCGCTACTGTTTGTCCCACTACTGTTCCCGAGGGTTTTATCTGTCCTGAATTCCATGTGTCAAAAACTCTTATTTGCACCAATGTGTATACTCCAGTATAGCCAGATTTGTATGTTTAGAACTGGGTCGTGGTAGTGGGGGAGTGGGGGAAAGCATTCAGGAACTAGAGGAATGATGTGTGTTTTGTTGGTGCTGTACTGCATCCTGGTTGAATTGTCCCTTCCTTGTAACCCTCTGTAGGGGGATGTGCAATTGTCTACAAATTCAAGCTGCTCTTTAAATTTTTCTGTTCAGCCCTTTTACTTCATCAAATACTTGCTGGTATTTGAAATACTAGTGACATAACTTCCAGCATCACAGCAACTTACAAACCATCACAGTAAACTATAATGACAGACAAGTGGTAAAGTCAAGGTAGTAATCAATGGCTTGTGAAATCAATTCCCAGAGGATGAATCAGAGAAAGAATCCCACAACTTGCCACCCCATTTAAAATGCATTTTTTTTCTTGAGGAGAGCTAGTTCTGTCTGCACTCAGTACCTAAGGATATGTCAGGGCTATCAGAAGTGGTGTGCTCCCGCAATCCCCAAGGTGGCTGTCTGTCACTGAACACAGACAGTGCTCAGAATGTCTCATTCCCTGGGCCCATCACAAAATCACTTGTTCTAGAAGCTGCAAATCCATACTCTTGGAAATAGGTAAGACTCAACCTCATCAGGATTAGACATAGAGAAAGGTAGGCTTCTGATAACATGAAAGTTGTGGGGAGATGCTTTAGCTCACCACCTAGAGGAACAAAGTCTCCCCATTACAGATTCAGTGCCTTACAAGTAGTAGGGTTGGTTGTCGAGCAAGGCTTATAATCTGGAGTACCAGACGTTCATCAAGAGAATTGTAGTGTTTCTTGTTAGAGGTGATAGTGTTGAGTTTTCTCTTACAGTGGGAAATACAAATCTAAGTAGTAAATTAAGAAGAATTTGGTATTCACTTTTCCATTGAGGCTCATGGGAAGAATTTTTCTTCTGCATTTGAGTATAGAATCAACCAATAGGTTGTGGGTAAGGTTGGGTTTTCAAGCATAGTTGAGATGTTCTCTTATGTATCTGAGTGGAGAGAGCATGGATGTGTTTCATCAGTGTGTTGCTTCAGCTTAGCATAGTGGTTTCCAAAGTAGATGCACCCATCAACTTTTGTCTGTCTGTTTAGTACAAATTTGGGTGACTACACGATAACAAGAGTGGCAACAGTTTGAGAAGTGTGGAATATGGGTGATGAGTACATACATATTGTATTCTCTACTTTTGTGGGAATTTTTAAGATACACAATAAAATATTTAGAATGAATTAAGATACATGAATTAAGGTACCAAGAGTTTATATCTGTTATAAGCAAAATTTAATTCACTATCAAATCTTCTTGACTCCTTCCTTTAGAATAAATCCCAAATCTGGCTACTTCTCACTACTTTTACTGCTCTTTCCCTGAATAATTACAGTAGGCTCCTAACTGATGTCCCTTCTCCTACCCTTGTCACTGCCATGGTTCATTCTCAACAGTGCATCCCAAGACCCCTATCTTCTTCTCCTTAAAACCCTTTAGCATTTTGCTGTCTCACTTAGAAGGGAGAAGAAAGGAAAGAGTCTTGAACTTGAAGAGAAATTATTTGAGGGGGGGGGGAGCCAATAGAAAAAATTAGCCTCAGTGAAAATATCAACCAGTTCAACATACTTGTAAATTAGAGTCCTAGAAGAAGAGAATATTTGGGGCAGCAAGAAAACATTTTAAAGGTAGCTAAAATTTTTCCATATTTGAGGAAATTCATGAACTTTTCTGACTGAAAGATCTTGTGAAGAAAGGGACTATATATAATTTTTGTCATTATATTCTTAGTACTGTTTAGTGCTTGTTATATCTAGGCTCTCAATAGATATTTATTAAATGGATACGTGAACAAATGAATAAATGAATCATTGAATAAGAAATGTGTTAAAAGGATTATATGATTACATGTGGAAGTGCTTACTACTGCCAAAAGGATTGAAAGAAATTTTAAAGCTGTCAGAAAATTGGGAAAATAAAAAAAGCATGTACTCTTTTTTAATCAAATGAATGCTATTAATTTTTTCCCACAGGCCTGAGTTGGTAGTAAAGAAGTTACGGTACTATGCAAGATTTATAGTAGTTTGTCTCCTTCTCAACAAAATGGATGTTGTGAAGGATCTGGTGAAGGTAAATGTACTTTAAAACAATTAAAATCCTAAATTCTCATTGTGCATGGATAATATTGTTTGCTTTTAAAATAGATTTACCTCTAAGAATTTTGATAGGTCTTTAAGTAATTGCAACATTCAAAATACATTGCTGTCTGAAAAACATAGTGATCCTATTTCTCCCCATTTACCTTCATATTTCACACACACTTAAGCTAAGCAGAGGTAATGATCTTATATTCTTGCTCTTTTTGTCTTGTTTCTGCTTTAGCAGTTTTATTGGCGTGTAATTCACATGTACAATTCAAGAGTTCAATCACATCAACAAGAGTTGTAAAATCATCACCACATTCAGTTTTAGAACATTTCTCTCATCCTGGTACTCATCATCATGAGCCCCCCCCATTTTCCCCAGCTGCCTGTGCTATACCCCCACTAGAAAACCAAGCTCACTGCCATGAGTTGGTGCTGCTCGGAGTGACTTGCTGTGGTCTCCAAGACTAGCTGTTTTGGGGAGTAGAAAACCCAGTCTTTCTCTTGTGCAGCTGCTGGGGGTTTTTTACTGCAGACCATGCGGATCACAGCCCAGCGCATAATCACTGCAGTACCAGTTACTGATTTTTATAGATTTACCTCTCCTGGATTTCATATATAGTAAAACGTTAAAATAAAATAAAAACTAACAAGAAATACAAAGTAAAACATAAAAACCTCAATCTAAAAGAAAAAAAGAATCATTAAAACTAGAACAGATTTAAATGGATCATAAAGGAGATCAAATAATAGGATGCTAAATTTTAACCTAACAGCATCTGTAACAATGCTCTCTCCGATGCATTCCACATGATAGCAAAGGCTAGTCACATCCCTGGTCCATGGCCTATATTCTTGATCTTTTCTCTTCAACATAGCCCATCAATAAATGGTTGTAAAAGGCAAACAGAAGTTCAGATATTTGGTGTAAGAGGATATCATTAAAAGCTTAAGTCAGAAAATATATATAAATAATGTTTTATAAAAGGTATTTTGAATGACTTTTTGTTTTTCCACCACTTTTAAATATCTACATCACTCTTTTTCTTCACTAACTTGGGTAATTAAAAATTAACTGTATTCTGGGACAACTTAATACTTGTAACTGGGACATAATAAATTCTGGTGATACTCAGTAGTTTGTTTTTTGTTTGTTTGTTCGTTTTTGATACTCAGTAGTTTTGAAAGCATTCTTCTTCCATTTTGGAACAGAAGCATCACGTGTCTTTCTGACAATGCAACCAGAAGTAGCTCTGGAAACCTCACTTCTCTCGTTCCCTACCCCCATTTACTAATAAGACCATGGCAAAACAAACAAACAAAAAACACAAGAGCTTGATACAAGCCTGAGAAGCTCAGCTAGATAGGATTCATTTTAGAAAATGCTCAAGGTCTTTCCATGCTTTTCTAAAAGTCTTGGATATTCTTTTTCTTCCTAAGAGTTTCTGATTTTGAAGCCTGTCCATGTGGTTTCAATTTTTAAGTTTCTGTTAAAATTGGGATGATGTCTCAACAATATTCAAACTTCTTACCTATATAATTTTCTGTCAGGAGTGTGATAGGATGTAGATATCTATTTTAATAGATCTTTATAACGTTTTTTTGCCTTATGGTAAAATCAGGAATTGTCTGATGAAATTGAAGATTATACTCACCGATTCAATACTGAAGATCAGGTGGAATGGAACTTGGTGCTCCAAGAAGTGGCAGCTTTCATTGAGGTCAGTTTTTGACAAAGAAGGTTGTCATGATTCTGGTTAGGCAAAGTTATAAGTAAAAAACATACTTACGACTTTCGTATGTATATCAAGAAGAAAGGATAACTTAGTATATTAATATCATGTTTTGTGCCATTAACTATTATTTCTTCCATTTTAGGCAGACCCAGTCATGGTATTAAATGATGATAATACCATTGTTATCACATCTAATCGACTTGCTGAAACAGGAGCTCCACTGTTGGAACAGGGCATGATTGTGGGGCAGCTGTCTCTGGCTGATGCACTGATTATTGGTAATTGTAATAATCAGGTAAAGAACTGTGAAGGAATTATACTTTAAAAAATTTATCACAGAATTATTACTTTGTATATATTTATTTGTGAGGAGCAGCTTAATTAAATTATGGTAAGTCCAGTTTATGCTAGTATAGACATTTCCGTACTGTACAAGGAATGTTTAATAATACAGGAAGATCCTGATTATGTGGTAAATGAAACACACACGGACACCTCTTATGGGACTGTGTAGAGCTGGGGTAGAACCTTTTTTCTGCCATGGACATTTGGATATTTATAACATCTTTTTTGGGCCATACAAAATTATCAACATAAAAATTAGTCTGCTACACTTTGTCAAACATTTAATTAACTCACCACTAATGTAATAGATGGAACTTCTCTTTGGTGAGGTGTGTGATATTAGCTGATATTGATGATTTCTTAGGTTTTATATGACTCACAGGCCGGTCATTCCCCACTCCGGATGTAGATAGAATTATTTCATACATGTTAGGATGTCTGTCAACAGACATGCACCAGGAAAAAAAAACTAGGAGAAAATGTACCTGTATTGTAAGATATTTATTTCTGAGTAGCAGATTTATAGCTATTTCTTTATAATACTCCAAACTTCCCAGGTTTCTGTTCATTAATTTTAAGTCATAAAATTAAGGTTTACTTTTATTGTGATAAAATTCACATAACATGAAATTTAGTATTTTAAGCATTTAAAAGTATAGAGTTTACTTACTTTTTGATATTCACAATACTATGTAACTATCATAATTTTAATTCCAGAATATTTCCAACATCCCCCAAAAAGTCACACCCATTAAAAGCAGTCACCCCTTATTCTTTCATCCACTCCCCAGCACCTGACAACCATAATCTATTTTCAGTTTCTTTAGATTTCCCTGTACTAGACATTTCATGCAAATGGAATCATGCAATCTCTGACCTTTTGTGCCTGGTTCCTTTCACTTTGCATAATGTTAACCAAAGGTCATCCATGTTTTAGCATGTATCAGTACTTCAGTCCTCAAAGAATTGTAGTTTTTAAAGTATATTTTCCAAAAAGAAATTTCAAACATTTTTTCATGAAATAGTAGCTTATGATGAGGAGTTAAATACTGGAAATTACAGTGTCATCAGTAAATAAATACATTGTTTTGTCACATGTATTTACATTTGCTGTCATTTTGGATTTACTTGGTCTTCTTTTGTTTTTATTTTTGTTATTTTTTTCTAATACTCTTGATCTTTTAAATTTTATAACCATAATTTTCCAAATTTCTAAAGTAAAATATTTTTTAAATGACAGTATTTGTCTCAAGTGGACAGCATATTTTGTGAATGCTCAAGTCTGAAAAATATTTTTTTAAATATATGTGTTTTGAAAGTTGTAAGATCTGAAAGGCTTAGGATTTCTCTCACTTTTTAAAAACTAATGAAAGAAATGAAATTAAAGCCAGGTGGGATAACACCCACCCAAAATGGCTAAAAAGCAAAGCAAAACAAAGAGACTGATACCAAACCTGGATAAGCTGGTGTAAAAATTGTACATCTCATACTTGTTAGTAGAATTATAAAGTGGGAGGGGCTGATGCCAGGGGCTTAGGTGGAGAGCAAATGTTTTGAGAATGATGAGGGCAGTGAATGTACAAATGTGCTTTACACAATTGATGAATGTATGGATTGTGATAGGAGTTGTATGAGCCCCTAATAAAACAATTTTTTTAAAAAAGTATAAAGTAGATCTCTACTGTAGATTAGTATTAGGTAGTATCTAGTACAGCAAGATCTATGTCTTTGTGACCCAATAATTCCAATGTTTCCTAGTGATTTGTAGGTATCCCCAGTGTTTTCTATATAAATTGTGCATAGGCCTTTTAATTGGGTCAGATTTATGTATTGCAAGTATCTTCTATTTTGTGCCTTGTCTTTTACTCTTCTGATGCTTTTTTAAAAACATAATTCATATATCATGCAGTTCCATCTTTTACATCTATTAAGAACAGTTGTGCAATCATCACTACAATCAATTTTAGATTTCTATTAGACCGTTTTATGAGTAGAAGTCCTTAATTTTTATGTAGTCCATTTTATCAATTTTTTTCTTTGGGAGTCAGTCAAATATTTGAGGAATCTTTGATTATTCCATGGTCATAAAGATAAAACTCCTGTTTTCTTTCCCTAAAAGCTTCAATATATTACTTTTCTTTTTTAGATCTACAGTCCATCTGGAACTTATTTTATTTTGGTGTTAAGTTTGGGTCAAGATTCCCATGTGGATTTGCCATAGACCTAAACAATTTATTAAAAATACCCTTATTTCTACTGTATTGCAGTCTCACTTTTATCATCAATCTTATAACCACATGTGTGTAAATCTGTTTCTGACCTCTATTTCTGCTTCTTCAGTTCATTGATGTATTGTGCCAGTATCACACAGACTTAATTAATAGGGCATTGTAACAGGTCTTGATAGCTTCACAGTGAATGAAATGCTGATTTTTCTCTATTTGTTTTATCTTTCACTGAGTCCTGCTCTTTATTATTTCCTTTCTCCTACTTTGGATCTAATTTGACCCTTCATAGTTTCTAAAGGTCTTACTCACTTCCATCAAGTTGATTCTGACTCTTAGCAACCCTATTGGACAAGGTAGAACTGCCCCTGTGAGTTTCTGAGACTGTAACTCTTTTTTTTGAACTTGTTATTTATCTTATTGCTGCAAAATACATACAATATAGAATTCACCGTTTTAAAGCACACAGTTAAGTGACATTGAGTATATTCGTAATGTTATATTATTATCACCACCATCTAGTTTCAGAACATTTTCATGTCCTCAAAACTAAACCCCGTACCAACTAAGCATTCACTCATTCTGCCTTCTACCAGTACCTGAAAGCACTAACCTAGTTTCTGTTTCTCTGGAATATACATTCTTTAAAAAAATTTTTCCCTATGATTTATTTTATTTCATGTAAAAAATAATATTTATATTGACATAGCTTACTCATTCCAATATATTCTTTCCCTTCCCATACAGTTCTGTTGTTCAATCCCATTGGGTTGGGCTATATAATCATCAGCGCTATTAACTCCACTGCACCCCACCCCCGAAACTGTAACTCTTCACAAGAGTAGAAAGCTTCATCTTTCTCCCTTGGAGTGGCAGGTGGTTTTGAACTGCTGGTCTTGCTGTTAGAAGCCCAATGCATAACCCACTACACCAGCACTAAAGGTAAAATCCTAAATAATTGAAGGGTGTGCAACAGAACAGCAAGGGGAACAGAGCAAGGAAGTCCCCAGGGAATACCAAAAATAGGCTTTGGAGCCAAGGTGTGGCATCCCATCAGACTCCACCAGAAAACACTCCTAAAGGTCAATAAACAGACCTTGAACTATTTATAGGCTTTTCTTTTGTTGTTGTTGTTTTGTTTTCTTTTGTTGCTTTGTTTTGCTCTGACTTGTTTTGTGTACATATTATTATCTTTGCAGGTCTATCTAGATAAGATAGGTGGGATAAAGAATCTGTAGGAGAAAACAAGGGGACAGATGGTCCAGGGTGGGGAGGGGTCGGACAGAGGAACAACAAGTGATCCAAAATCGGTGGTGAGGAGGATGTTGGAGGCCTTTTAGGCTTGATCAAGGGCAATGTAACTGAGAGGAATTACTGAAACCCAAATGAAGGCTTAGCATGATAGTGAGACAAGAGGAAAGTAAAAGAAAATAGAGGAAAGAACTATGAGGCAAAGGGCATTTATAGAGGTCTAAATACAGGCATGTATATATGTAGTATAAATGGTGATAGGGAAATAGATCTATGTGCATATATTTCTAGGCTTAGTATTAAGGTAGCAGTTGGACATTGGGCCTCCACTCAAGGACTCCCTCAATGCAAGAACACTTTCTTCTATTGAACTGGCATTCCATGATGCTCACCTTCCTGACATGATCTCTGAAGACAAAGTGGGTGCATAAGCAAATGTGGTGAAGAAAGCTGATGGTGCCCGGCTATCAAAAGATATAGTATCTGGGGTCTTAAAGGATGGAAGATAAACAAGCAGCCATCTAGCTCAGAAGCAACAAAGCCCACATGGAAGAAGCACACC